CTTTTTAGTATTTTACAGTGATTCAGGTTGGCTGTTCCCATGGCCGCTCAGCTGTAGTGTGACTTTAACTTCTCTGAGCCCCCCAATCCTTTGAGCAAAAATGGAGACCTTACACATACCTATTTCTGGACCCTGAATTTGGACACCCAGTCACCCACTTCAGGCAGATTTTTAGGAGAGGCAAACCTGATGCCCTAGTGAAGAGGAACCCTCCCCCACTTCCTGCCCAAGCAAGACCTCAAAGAAGTCATCACTTTCACTTCAATTCAAAAAGAGAGCATTTTGCCAGCGCCCGTCATTGTCCTGTGGCTTGCCTCTGTTTACTCCCTTCCCCACCCATGCCTCCCCTCTGACTGCTCTGAGTCCCGAAATCCCTAAATTAATAATAATAAAAAGAGCCGCCATTTCTTGAGCGCTTGCCTTTATAGAACAGAACTCCCCATTCCTGGGCTCCTCAGGCGCATGCTTCCCCCTGGTCAGAAGCCTTTGCTGGGTCTGTGGCTTCGTGCCCCTGCCTTTTGTGGTTAGTGCTTTTTGTGTCCTGGTGAGAAGTCTTTGCCAACCTCAAGGTCATGAAGGTCTTCACCCATGTTTTAAAACATGGATTTACAGAGAGAACTGCGCTTGTATGTTCAGGTATATGATCCCATCCACTGATTTTTGAGTGAAGTAGGTTTCTCCATTGAAGTGCTCGTACATTTTTGAAAAAATTGAAATGTCTCAATAATGGATTTGGAAAACTTTGTACCAATAAAAAAGAATGTAAATTTTTTCCAAAAAAAAAAAAAGTAACTGTTTCTGGACTCTATTATAATCCATTGCTCTACATGTCTTTTTTTTTCTGCCAAATCCATTATCTTGATTACTCTAGCTTTAAAATAACTCTTGAAGTCAAGTAGATGAAATCATTGCATCTCTTAAAGGGGTGGGGTGTCAGTAGAATTAAACATCTTCCCTTAGCAAAACAGGACCACTGGGTCATACTGTAGAGACAGCACCTGAGATCAGGGAGGACAGTTGGGGGTTGAATGGTGTCCCCCAAAAGATACGTTCAAATCCTAACTCCCAGCACTTCAGAATGTGATCTTATTTGTAGACAGGGTTTTTATATAGAGATAACCAAGTTGAAATTAAGGTCATTACATTGTGCCCTAATCCAGTATGACCAAGTGCTTATAAAAAAGGGAAATTTGGACACAGACCTGTCCAGAGAGAAGAGAGTGTGAAGAGACACAGGGAGCCCTAGCTGGTTTGGCTCAGTGGATAGAATGATGACCTGAGGACTGAAAGGTCCCAGGTTTGATTCTGGTCAATGGCATGTACCTTGGTTGCGGGCACATCCCCAGTAGGAGGTGTGCAGGAGGCAACTGATCAATGTTTCTCTCTATCCCTCTCCCTTCCTCTGTGTAAAAAAATAAACTATATATATATATATATATATAGTTTGGGACTTTGGAACTCGGCCTACCTGAGTTCGAATCCCAGCTTTGTTCATTTAGAACTGCGTCACTCTGGGCTAGCAACCCAGCCTCTCTGAGCCCCACCTGTCAAATGGGAACGGTAGTGGGACTTGGCAGAAAGGGTTACTATGAGTGTCCCGTGAGAGCACATTTGTCTGGCAATTGGCACAGTGCTCAGTAAATGGTGGGTAGTATTTTCCCTCTGGGAGATGTTCTGTGCTCAGTGAAAGGAGTGTATCTCATTCCAAACCTAAGGAATTAGCTCATTCTAAATCCATTGAATAGGCTATTTACAAAAGGCAGAATATCAGTGAGAATCCGACTAGGGAAAACATACCAGAATAGAGGGATTTGCAGAGAGACTTGCTTCAGAGGTAAGGGAAGAACTACGGAAGAAGGCAAGTTGGAGGGTGACTCACCTGCAGGTTCGCAATAACAAGAGGGAGAGCACCACTCCTGGGATGGAGGGACAGAAGGAGGAGGTGTTTCTGGCACCCCGGAAGGTCTGGCGTCACCAGATAGAAGCTGGACCCACAGTGGGCCTGGTGGTGAGAGATGGAGACTCAGTAAATATGGCTGCTGTTGGAAATACTACCCAAGACAGAGAGAGGGAGAAATATCCTGGCTTCTCCCTTCCTCCCGCCCACCAAGCTCCTATCACTGCCTCCCATTAGTGGATCTCTGCAGGAAGCCAGTTGATTGACAGCCTGTAGGGATTGGGCTCCCTGTGATACAAAGCAGAGGGAGGGCAAGGAATGGTTTTGAGGACAAAGAAGCCCAGGCCCAACCCTGGGGAGTTGGGGTTACGTTTAATCTCTCCAAGCCACAGACACCCCATCTAGAAAATGGGGGTCATGGTATAGGAGTATATACCACTCATGGAACAGTAGATCCAATTCCATAAAACAGTTTAACCCAGTGCCTGCCACATAGGAGGGAGTTCCTTGTAAAGGTGAATGAAGGATCTAGTTAGCTATTTTCTGCTCAGAGGATGAGGGGAGGGAAGAGGACAGAGGCCCGGGAATAAACTCAAGGTGCAAAAGCGGTGCTGCTGCTGCTGGTGGTGGTATTTTTATCTCGGAGACCTGCCTATCTGTCCTCTCTCTGTTCTGAGCTGGTGATTCTGTCAGTCTCCTTTTAGAAACCCTGAGTCAGGGCTGACCACACCGAGTTTGGGGCCGGCCGTTGGGAGTTTTGGTCTCCACGCTCCTTCAAAACAGGTTTCAAATCCACCAGATTTTTATTTAGCGCCTCTGCCTTCCCACGGCTGCCAAATTTCCCTCGCCTCCTCCTTCCCCGGGGCCGAGTCGTCTCCAGACTCTCTCTTTGTATAATTAAAAAGAAAAATAGAACAGCCGATGTTGCCAAACATGTATTTAAAGTGACACCCTGAGTCCAGGAAGTGAAAAATAAAAACGTTTAAGGTTTAGATTAAAAGGCTCGGTGCTCAGCTGTCTCCTGACCCTGGGCCTCCTTTAATCCCTTGGCCTGGTTTGTAAAAGCCTTTTAACTCGAGGCATTTATTTCCCAGAGAACTAATCGCACAAAAATGCCCAGCCTCCCAGGAATTGCCTGTCAAGTGCAATGCGGTTCTATGAGGCCCCTGGGGAGGCGGGGAAATTGGGGTGCTGACCACCCTAGGAGCCACCCTGAATCCTTACTTTCCTTCCCCCTGCTCTTCCCCCACCACATCTAATCCATTAAAAAAAAACAAAACCACAAACAAACAGTTGAATGTAGCCCTTAACATTTGCTTAAAATCTGTACCTTCTTCCCAGCATCCTCTTCCATCTTCTCCAGGCCCAGAAAAACCTGCTCCCTGGTGTCTCTGCTTCCAAAGGCTTTGCGTCTGAGTTAGAATAAAATCCAAGCTCCTGCCTGGCCAGTGTGGCTCAGTGGTTGATCTTCGATCTATGAACCAGGAGGTCACGGTTAGATTTCTGGTCAGGACACGTGCCTGAGTTGTGGGCTCGATTCCTAGTGTGGGGCATGTATGAGGCAGCTGATCCATGATTCTCATCATTGATATTTCTATTCCCCTCCCCTCCTTTCTTCTCTGAAATAAAAAAATATGTATTTTAAAAAACTAAGCTCCTTACCTATGATGGGAAAGCCTTATCTTATCTAGCCCCTTTCTATCTCTCTAACATCATTTACACCCCCCACTGCAAGTAGCATAGGAGCTACTTGCTTTTCATTGTTCTTTCCAATGAGTGGAAAGAACAGGCCAAATCCTCAAGGCCTCTGCACATGCTGTTCCCACTGTTTAAAAGCTCTCCCCTCTGCCCTAGCTGGTTTGGCTCAGTGGATAGAGCGTCAGCTTGTGGACTGAAGGGTCCCAGGTTCAATTCCTGCCAAGGGCACATGTCTGGATTGTAGGCTCAATCCCCAGACAGGAGGGCAACAGGCTGGTCCTAATCCTGAGGCTGCCAGGGAGCTGGGCACCTCCGGCAGGCTGCCCACCCTCCCATTTGGCCTGACTTTTCCAGCTGAAAAGGATTTGATTCTTCCTCTTTGGTACGACCTCTTATAAAAATTCAGACAATGCATAGAAATTGTTAAAGCCTAAAATCCTTACCATAGTCACAAGGCTTTGCCTGATCTGACACTTCCTTTCCTCCTTCCTTCCTCCTCCTCCTCCTCCTGCTTCTATTTTAAATTGTGGTAAAATATACATAACAGTTTACCATTTTAACCTTTTTAAAGTGTACAGTTCAGTGGCATTAATTACAATCACCTTGTGATGTAACCATCACCACCATCTTTCTTAATAATATAATTTACTCATTTATTCATTAGCTTATATTGAGATCTTACATTTAATAATCAGTTTGTTTAGAACATTTACAGAGATAACTTTGAAAATATACAGATTATTTTGGTAATAAGTGGCTAATACTGTGAGCACGTATAAAAAATAAAGAATATTATGCAGTTGTAAGCTTTAAAAATAAGAAATAAACATGTAAATGAGCCCAGCAGGTATGGCCCAGTGGTTGAGCGTCAACCTATGAACTAGACAGTGTTTCCCAAACATATGTGTACCCCTTCTATAATTTTCGTAATGCTGAGTACCCCTCGTACTCAAGAGAACGTAGAATTAGGCGCAGCTAAGCACGGTGCAGTGCATATCCCCACCAAACTCCGGTGCAACGCGTACCCCCACCAGACTCTTCCCGTACCCCTGGGGGGACGCGTACCACACTTTGGGGAACACTGAACCAGGAAGTCACAGTTCGATTCCCTGTCAGGTTACATGTCCAGGTTGCAGGCTTAATCCCCCATGTGGGATGTGCAGGAGGCAGCAGATCAATGATTCTCTCTCATCATTGGTGTTTCTATCTTTTCCTCTACCTTCCTCTCTGAAATCAATAAAAATATTTTTTTAAAGTTACAGAGTTGGATGGTGCTGATAGTTGCACAACAATTTGAATGTACTTAATGCCACTGAACTGTAGACCTGAAGTGCTTAAAATGGTAAATCCTATTATATATGTGTGTATATGTATACATATATATATATAGCCACAATTTAAAACAGTGCTCAATTCAACCGTACATTTCTAAAATTGGAACAATACATAGAATATTAGCATGGCCCCTACACAAGGACAATGTGTAAATTTGTGAAGCATTTCATAACAAAAAAAAAAAAGAACAGCAACAACAAAAATCCTTTTCCTCCCCAAAGTCATTACTATCCTCAGGTTTTGTTTGTTTGTTTGTTTTGTTTTAATATGTGTTTTTAAAAATCCTCACCCGAGAATATTTTCCCACTTCTTTTTAGAGAGGGTGGGAGAGAGAGGGAAAGACAGAAATATCAATGTGAGAGAAACACAGTGATTGGTGACCTCCTGCGCGAGCCCTGGCCAGGGCCCAGGTGGGAGAGGAGACTCCAAGCCAGGTATGTGCCCTTGACAGGAATTGAACCTGGGACCCTTTGGTCTGAAGGCCTATGCTCTATCCACTGAGCCAAACCGGCTAGGGCCACTTTATTTTACTTTTAAAAATTAAATCCTTATTGTTGAAAACATAGCATATGTTTCTGTCCTCCCCCACCCCCCCAGGAACCCTCGTATTGACTCACCTTCTTTCCCTGCCTCAGTCCCCCTGTTCCTCACTCTTGCTTCCTCAGTGTAGCTACACCGCACAAACTTCTGATTCGCTCTCTGCTTCCTGAGGAACCCAAGAAAGACCTATGCTGCTGTCTCTCCACTCTCCTGTTGATGGACATTGAGGTGGTTTCAAATTTTTTGAGATTGCACATGGTGCAACTAGGACAACATCCTTGTTCGTGCTTCCTGGCGTACTTGTGTTTTTGTAGAGTGTTCCTAGCTATGGAACTGCTGGGTAATAGGTTGCAGACGCCTTTAGCTTCACCAGATATTACCCGATTGATTCCCAAAGTGACTGCTTATATTTTTCCAGTTTATTTCACCTTAACCCCTGCCTTCAACTCACTGGATTTGTTTGGGTCATCTGGGTCTTCTTTCAGTTCCTTTAGCACATGTCGTCCCTTTCCTCCCCCCTTACCACAACCCCCCATCATGAGGCGTCTGCATCTGTTCTTTTTTCTGCTGAGAACACTTTCCCCACTGGCCTGGCTAAGACCTCCTCTTTCCACAGAGATCAGCTCAGTGCCTCCCTTCTCTGGAACAGCTCCCCCAGCTTCCTCCTCAGCCCCAAACCAGGACACCCCTCTCAGCCCCCTGCCCGTTTTATAGATCTTCTAGTCTCATAGACCTCTCTGCTGGGATACACTTATCAGTTGCAATGTATCGCCTATCTGCAACTATTGGAACAAGGTCTAGACCCCCTTAAGTGCACTAGCCTAAAAGTAGTGACCTCCGTGTTTAAGTTCACTAAGTTTACTACCACATCTCCAGCACCGAACACTGTGCCTGGCACCCAGTAGGCAGTTATTATTCTAATCGCTATGTTTACTATGTTATGTTCTTACTCATAATCGAGTTCAGCGTGTCATTTTTTCCAGCATGTTAAACATGAATTAGCATCTACTGGGAGCTAAGATCATGACAGTGAAAAGAAACACAGTGTCTTTCCTTGAAGAATTCACAGATAAAGGTCAGTAAACATTACTGAGCTGGCTGGAGCCTGACATGTTTTCAGTGCTTAGCAACTGTGGCATTGACTCAGAAGTCACCTCTAGGCTGAGTCTTACTCTTAACGTGTAACCATGGCTATTGTGTATTGAACACTTACTATGTGCCTGGCACTCTACTGGGTGCCTTTCATGTGCCATCTTGTCCTATCCCACATCTTGCCAGGGAAGTGCTGTTATCACCTCCATTTTACAGATTAGGAACATGAAGTCACTTGTTCCAAATCAGGGAAGTAGTAAATAGTGCAGGCAGCTTTCCTCAGCCAGAGCTCCTAACCCCCTGTCATGGTGCTGATTTTCTCCTACCCCAGTTACACTCTCCTTTCAAATTCCAGAGGCTGAGTTCTTAATCACAATGGTAAAATTAGTGATATCTACCATGATTGGGCACTTACTAAATATGAATCACTTTGCATCCATCCATTCAACAAATATTTACTGGGAATCTACCATGTGCCATGCTATGTGTGAGGGGCTGGGGAAATAGTGGAGAACAAAACAGAATAAAACACCTGTTTTGTGTTGTTGATACCCTAGTGTGAGGAGGGGGGGAAAAAACATGTATATATGATAGTGATCAGTGCTACAGAGAAAATGAAAACAGAAACAGGAACTATGGAGTTTCCGAGATCTCATTTCATTTGATCAACAAGCTATTATTTTTCCCATCGATAATGAGATTCAGAGGTGAAGACGCCTCCTCACAGGCACACAACTCATAGGCTGAGAAGTCAGGGCTCTGAAAGGACCACGAATCCCATCACTGCCAATCACTTAAAAAAATAAAAAAAAATAAATAAATATCCCCCCCCCCCCCCAACCATTTTGGCTCAGTGGATAGAGTGTCAACTGGCAGACTGAAGAAAGAGTCCTGGTTTTGATTCTGGTCAAGGGCATGTACCTTGCTTTTTGGCTCCATCCCTAGTAGGGGTCCTGCAGGAGGCAGCTGGTAGATGTTTTTCTCTCATTGATGTTTCTAACTCTCTATCCCTCGCTTCCTCTCATTTTACAGAAAGGAAGAGGGATAGAGAAAAACATCAATGATGAATCATTGATTGGCTGCCTCCTCCATACCCCACACTAGGGATCGACCCTGCAACTGGGGTATGTGCCTTAACCAGGAATTGAACCATGACCTCCAGGTTCATAGGTTGGTGCTCAATCACTGAGCTATGACAGCTGGGCATGCCAATCACTTTTTGTTGTGTGCCTTCTGAGTGCCTAGTATCATGGTGGAGATGAAAAGAATGTCAACATTTTCCCAAGAGTTTAAGCTCGGACAGGCAGGTAAGTAGACCCAGGTGACTGGAGGGTTCAGACAGCTGAATGTAGTGTCCATGCTGTGCCCAGGGCAGACATTACGTGTGATTGCCTATGGGAGATGCTGAGGCTGGAGTCCAGGCTCAGGCAGACAAATCGATTGCAGAGACCAGGAGCAGAAGACTAAGGCCCCATATGCCCTATGGATGTTGGTGATTCACAGACCCACCAGTCCCTGCCCTGTCCCCATAGCTAGCTCTACCGCCCTTCCCCTTTGCACCCTAGGTCTCCAGCCCTCCAGGCCATCAAGCATGAAGAAAGTGGCTAGGGACCAAGTGATAAGCTCTGGCCCCACCCTGAAGCCCCATGCACAAGCAAATAGCTGCTTCCTCTTCTCCTCATGCTGCATCAGCTGCTTGGGGGACCTCCCAGATGGGGGCTCTGGGGTGATGCCAGCTGGTCCCTTGCCCCCACATGGCCCCAGGACTCAGTATCTGCCCAGCAGATCACATGAACTCGGGAGGCCACCTGGGACCAGGGGAGGAGAGACTGAGCTGTGGAGCTACAGCGGATAGAGACCACCTCCCTCAGGCAGGCTGCCTTGTTGCACTTCAAGAGGACCTCTTAGAACATTTGCATGTTCTTCAAAGAAGAGCACTTTTAGGTGTAGCTGATCAAGCTGGAAATAGACATATTTTGGAGTTTGAGGAATTCATTCATTCAATGTTTGTTAAGTATGTTTTATGAGCCCAGTCCTAGGAGCTGAGGATAGACAGTAGACAAGACCAAGGTCAGTCTTCTCAGGGACCTTTCCTTTTTTTCTAATGATTGATTGATTGATCTGAGACAGAGATTTGTTCCATTTATTTAAACATTCGCTGGTTGATTCCTGTATGTGCCCTGAAAGGGGATAGAACCTGCAGAACCTTGGTGTAAGCGGGTGATACTCTAACCTAGTGGTTGCCAACCAGTGGTCCGAGGACCAGTCTAACCTACTGAGCTACCCGACCAGGGCAGAGACTTTTCCTTTTAATTTAATAGATGGACATTAGACTATTAACGCACGAGTATTATAATTGTGAGAAATATTCTAAATGAGAAGGGGTTTTGTGCTTGTGTAAACTGGGTAAACTGGCCACGTCAGAGATGTCTCCCTTCTGACTGGGGGGATAAGAGCCCAACCTCCTGCTCTTTTCGGAACATCCTCACCTCACCAGGGCGACAGAGGCCTCCTGAATAGGTGCCGAGGGGCCAAGAGGAGGGTTTCCTATAAACGCTGCTCTGTGGACGAATCTAGAAGGCACTCAGTACATAATTGGCGAATTAATGTTATTTCAGGGTGGGATAAAAAGCCACTGGCTCCATTAGCAGCGGCTGAGTGGCTCGCTGGGTAAGAAGAAACCTCTGCGCGGTTAATTCTCAGATTTCTGGAAAAATGAGGAATTTTGGGACTAGGGGAGGCACGATAGGGATGCTGGACTTCCATGAGACACGTCCTTTTAGGGTAGGTGCTGAGGCCATGCGAGTTAGAAGATGCATCAAGGGAATGAGACAGGTGGGTGCGGGAGCGGGGCTGTGGGGGGTCCCTGCCCTCCCCCAGCTCACAGTCTGGTGAGAGCAAAGGCAGCAATGTGATAACGTGATAAGCATTATGAGGGGGCAGGCAGAGAAGGCAGCTAAGTTAATTGTAGGAAGATAAGAGTTCTGAGAGGGAGAGGGCAGGCGGGAGAAAGCGCGCAGGGCGGAGGAATCAGCATATGCAAAAGCCTGGGGGCGAGAAAACAACTTCAAAGAGCTTAAGTGGCTCTGGAAGTTCTGACTGACTGGGGAGAGGAAGGATGCTGGGGAGAAAAGCAGGGCCGTTCCACCCTTTCAGCCTTCTCCCCGTGGGGGAAAACTGTATTTCCCCAGCCCACAACCAGTTAGGGTTAGGAAGTCCAGGAGGCGGCCTTAATTTTAATGAAGAGCCATCGTTTACTGACCACCACGTTATAGAACACGGGCTCATACAGTCCTCATATGTGACTCCCATTTTACAGAGGGCACAGCTGAGCCTGAGTGCCTGGTCGAAGGTCGCACAGTTCGCGATGTTGGGCAGTTTAAGTGTTGCTTTATGCAAATGCTTCTGTCCTAGCAGTTCCTCTTACATGAGGTAATGCATGTGAAAGCTTTTTTGTAATAGGGCCATGTAAACACGAGGCGTTATTAGTTTTCGGTCTGCTCTGCAGCATCCGGGGAGCCCAGGAAGGGGCAGTCGTGAAAGC